GGCTCTGCAAAATCAGGCGTCGTGGGTGGTGGCAAAAGGAAGGAGGAGACTCACTCGGCTGTACTTCCCAGGAACAGGTTTATTCGGGAGAGGGGATGAGCACAAGGGTGTCGGCTGGGACAAATCAGGACCGAAGAGAGCCCAGAGCACCTCTGTGCACTGGGTTTTATCTCAGGGGCGGGCACAGTCCAGGGTCCAATGGGAGCTCACAGAGGGAGGGGTAAGGGGAGGAAGTTACAATGTCAGGGACCAATGAGGATACAAAGAAAGCGGGAACATAACATAACAACCAATAATGTGTCGAGGAAGGGATGATGTACATGGAAGGAGCTGGAAGGAGAGGTGGGGTTTACAGTGATGGATGGGGAGATGGGGCAGGGTAAAGGCGATTGACGGGGAACATTCAGGAAAACTGGGAGGGGTTTACATAACAGACAAATGGAACCAAGTAAAGCAGTAAATGGGGGAGAACCAGGAACATACCAGACAAAACATTAACAATTTTAACAGAACTGAATAAACATACTACAACACTAGTCCCTTGAATTTGTTTCAGGTTGGGGTTTTTGGGGTGGCAGTTTTCTGATTGTCAGGCTTCTTTCGCTGTGTGGGTTTTGGTTTGAGGATGTTTGTTTATTTTTGCAACTCTATTAAGTGACTTCTACTGAACATTCATGTCTTTTTCTGCTATTTAATCATATTTATGATGTTTAGTGAAGCAATTTGGATTTTACTTCCAGAAACAAATATTTTTAGCACTCTCACATTTATTATAGTCTGTTAGCTAGGAAGTAAACCAGACCTGTAGCTTCTTGTTGGTAAAAGAACAAAACAGCTATAGTTGTTCCAGGTGTTGGCTGATGAAAGACTTGCAGTGGTGCCTTATTTTGGGGAAAATAAATATAATACCAATTTAGGAAACTTATTTTTAAATAAATCTCAGTAGCCCTTTATAAAAATCCTAAGAGAAGTACACTGACAAGCCCTAATTCAAACCTTGACATGAGGTGGTAAATGTTGTTCTCCCAGATGGGACTCTTGGCCATAACAGTGGTAGCTGTTGAAAAGCTACTTTTGAAAGCTTTGTTGTGCTTTCAAAAGTATTTTGTTACTGCCCCAAGTAATTTTCTCTGTGTGCTCAGTGGAAACTCTACAAAGTGTGCTCAGTTTTCCATCCTCCTGCCTGAACTTCACCCATTGGCTGTAGCTGGAAGAACCCTTAAGGCGGGGACCAACCTTCAGTTCCTCATCTCCAGAGGACATCTGTTCTGTCAGCCAGGCCTAAGCCATGGCTCTGAAAAGCAGAATTTGCTGCCCAGCTACCTTGGCTTTTCAGGATAATACAGGGTATATGTTGTGGAACAGGAGTCTGTCTTGCTGGGTTGAAAAAGCAACACTTGCCATGAGGAAATACTGTTATATTAATAATGTTGTTCCTCTCTTTCAGAGCTCTGCAAAGGATGATCCCATGAATGCTTTTGACAGGTTAATTATAGAAGAAGAAATTCATTCTTTAATTTTAACAGAAACTTCAGACAGCACTAATCCTGAAAAAGAAAACAGGTAGACTCTGCTTTATCAGTGAAAGAGAAGGAAGCAGATTCCTGCTCTGACTGTAGATGTGAAATGGTCTGTGAGACATTTGCTGGCTCTGACCTCACTGGCTCCTTCTCTGGTGCACAGAGGATGAATCACTAACAGTGGCTGTTCTTCCACCTCTGCCAGAAATACCCATCTGATGATACCCGTGTCAAGATGAGCATGCACGTAATTCCATGTGACTGCGTTGTGGACTCCCTGTCCCGGCTTCAGCCAGCTCTGCCCTATTATTTGTTACTTGCACTTGTGTTGGTCCCTCACACCGGGCTGTCAGGGTTGGTTTGGTTTTTTTTTTCTGTGACTTCTCTGAAGTATTTGTCTCTGTTTGCAGCAGGTGGGATGAGGCTGGTTTACAGTGGATGGGTCATTAGTGCTACCACATGGAGCTGCTGCCAGGTGGGATGGCAGAGCATGGACTGTTTGTGGATAAGCCTTTGTGTGTGTGCCTGGGCTGGGCACTCTCTGGAGGGCACTTATGGACTGAGCTTCTTGTGCTTCTGCCCATCAGCTGGGGCTTGGTCAAATCCCACCAAAGAGGGTATTTTTTTATTTGAAAACGTGTATGAAAAGCCCCTCTGCTTTCCAGCTGGTGTTCAGAATATTCATAGAAAAGGCTTAGTTTTGTTATCCTGTCAATTGTCTGTCCTCAGATTCCTTGCCTTCATGGACTTCTTGGGTTAATTATACTTTGTTTAAAATGAGAAATATATATATTTTTTTATTTGTTCTGTGCAGTAGCAGGTAACTGTATTGAGTCTCACCAGACTGTGATTCTACTTTGGCCATATTGGCCTGAAGATACCTGATTTATAGCAGCTAAGTCACCCTGAGTCTGTCCAGCAAGAATACCAGTGTGGATGCATGAATCAAACTCATTAGTAAATATTAAACCACTGAAACCCAACTAATGCAAAGGCTTCAAGACCCATCCCTACTGCCAAACTGATGGATCTGGGGAAGAGGGGATGAAAACACCGGCCTGTTTTCTAAAGGATAAGTTTTATTCTTTCTACAGAGATGACACTCTGATTTGAGCTTCCCCTCTAAGACTTAGCAATATAAAACAAGGTGCTGATTTGACTTTTTTAAAAAGCTTTCTTCTGTATTTTACCACAACAGTTTTGCAGGTATTTTTGTTGTTGTTTTGTTCATTCTTTGGTGGTTTTGTTTTGAGGGTTCTTTACCCAGCAAAGCTCAGCATGTGTTTTCTGGCACAACTGTGACATTTTTCTGCTCTGGATTCTCAGCATTAGTGTCTGCCCTGTGCTGCAAGGGTGGTTACGGTGGTACCTTGATTGTGCTGGAGGAAGAAGATAATGGAATGGAGAGAAAAGGATCCATGGAAGCCCTTTATGGTTAATGCTCAGGGATTTCTTGCTCCTTCCATATAAGTGTAGACATCTGAGTCATGTACATAGGCAGTCTTAGCAGACTGGGAAGAGATCTCCTGATAAGCTTTCTAGGAGCAAACTTTATAGCTACTAACCTTTTAAAGTTCATCCCTGTCTTCAAACTCAGTCAAAAAAGTGAAACTAAGTGCTATATTTTTAGAACATATTGTTCTGCAAGAAGTAGAACGAGTGTCACATGCCTTTTAGCTACAAATGGGCATCTTTTATGCACTTATATATTCCCTCCTTATCAATAAATCCAATTCTTTCCCCATTGCCCACTGAGCCTCTTAAATACAGTTTTTTCCAGGTCTCTTATCCTCCTTTTGTTAGTGGTAGAAAGGGGAGGAGAAATGTAGCAGAACTAGCAGACCCCCTATTAAGCATATGCCTTTTACCTCCAATCAGGCTAAATAAACCCAACAATTATAAAAATTAATAAGTGAGACAAAATAAAGCCTCAGGGATTTCAGTGAGATAAAACTCAGGTTATACAAAGTCAGCTAGTAGCACTCTCTGAAATTCCAGAGATTAAGGAATAGCATGAGGGAGAGAGTAATACATTTCTTACCAAATTCATACCCTCTGCAACATTTATGTCATATTAATGATAAATATTCCTTCAATCTACCTCATCTGGAATTTTGCTCAACACAGACCACTTAGACAAACAGAAATGTATAATTTCAAGGTAAGTAAGCGTAACAGTACAATACAAAGTTTTGTAGCTTTCAGCATAACAATCTAGCAAAATCAGTACTTTAAATTCTTTTGACTTTTATGCTGGTGTCTATGACAAAACCAAAATTTATTTGATTTTTAAAAAAACAAACCAACAAAAAATCCCAAACAAATTTGTAAAGCCATAGGAGTGAAAAAAAAACAGATGAAAGGTGTTAGGCTGAAAGAAAGATTTAAATGCAAAGGATGGTTTAGGTCCATATATAGGAAAGATTTGAATAACACTAGTTGGCACTTCCTCGTGGATTCATTTCTTGAGCCTGTGTTTCAGTATGTAAAGTAAATGTCTGAATATGCCTTCACCTTCAACATGCTTTTGTTTTTAAATAAAAGGTTTTTTAGCTTGAAATTATCCAAATTTTGCTACAATTTTTTTTCTTCATTGCAGTTACTTGATCTGTAAATTTGCTCAAAGAGTGAATAAATATGATTCAATGCTTTTCAGTGTAATGGCATGGCATTTTGTTCTTGGGTTGAGGAGATTAAACTGAGGCCAAAGAGATGGGTTTTTAATGAGAAACCATGTTTGAAGCATGCAGAACCCAAAGAAGAAAAGCTGAGTTGCTTTTCCCACTTCCCTTTCAAGAGTGAGCTCAGCCCATGCACTCATTGTGGACAGACTGCAATGGCCGTGGTTTTTGGCTGGGGAAATGGAACAGAGATGGAGCTGAGCACAAGGTTTGTGCTCTCACCCCCTCTGTACTTTCTGACACTGGCATGTTTTAATGCCACAGACTTAATGAAACATCAAACTGAAATTTGAATAAAATTGCTGCAGCCTTCCCCAATGTATCTTCAATATTTTACATCTTTGTTAGCTGCTGAGGTTATTGAAAATGCCAGGTTACTAAACTGCTGAAAGCCATTGATTTGACACTTAGACCCAAATATATTCAATTGCCAAATAAACACATTAGTAATGGCTTCTTGGAAAGATTCAGAGAGAGAATTCTTAGTTCCCTTCAGTTCAGTGAGCAGCTCATTCAAAATTAAGATATAATCCATGACATCAAAAAACAAGACTTTCATATTTCTCTTTCACAATTCTATAGTTTTGGTGGCAATAATGACTAACAATGATTTTAATCACTCCTCACAAGTGACCTTTTCCTAGTTTGATACATTCTGTTAAATAAGCTAAGCTTTCTGTATTTGGCATCACTGAGAAATTGAATTTTTTTTGTTGTTGTTAATTTTTTTTTTTTTTGGTTAAGGAATGACAGTTGGAAGAATTTCTAGAGGAACACACTGAAGTGTAAGCCATAGTGTTTCAGTGCTTACTGGGTAGAACTATTCACAGGTTGGGTATTTCCATTCACTGGAAAGTATTCAATAAACTTATTTCTGAGCTGGAACTTTAAGTACTCAGAATTTCCTTTGGAAAGGAAATGTTTGGGTTTTTTCATTATTAAAACCATTAAAAGAACAGAATGAATTTTTTGTTTTGGAGGGTTTTACACTCACTGGCAAGAACAGGATGTAGGTGAGTAGGGGGGTGGAAGTCCAGATATGGTCAGGAAGTTGCAGAAACCTCCCTCCCTCCTTCTCACCCAAATGCCATTGTTGGGCAGCAGCTCAGATCTACAGGCCCAGGAACAGGCAAAGTGGGACTGGGAGGAGCAATTCTGCTGGGCTACTGAAGGTTCATCAAGATGATCCCCAAACACTTCAGTTTTAAACAATATTTGCAAAATATGTTTTAGGGGAGCAAGCCCCACGGGTTGCATTGCCAGCTGTAGAAATGCAGCTTCTAGGTAATACTGAAAATCCAAATGCAAAACCAGATTAAAATCTCTCTATTTGGATGAACTTCTTGCAAGCTGTTGAGTCAAGGTGATAGCAGGAGGCTCAGATCACATGATGTAACTAAATCCACTCTGTTACCGCAGCAAAGCAATGTGGCTTTGGGTGGGTGGCAGAGGGAAGAAAAACTTTCTTTCAGGTCCGGAAACTGTCTCAGGTTTGTAGCATGTAAGAGCCTGAAAGCTTGTTGATGACTTACAGGGGTATTTTGGGGTTGGTTTTTTCAATCTGTTTTTCCAACATGCTGGTTAGGTTAATGAAGTAGTTTCTCTTTGTTTGTAAACCTTGTGGTGTTTATCACTGAAGCACCCCTTCTATGGCCATTCTTGGATTATTACCAACTAGCTTTCTGAAGGTAATCATTTGGTGGGGAAAGAAAATTGCTGCTGTCACCACAGAGCCGAAAACCAGCCAGTGTATCCTAGTAATAGTTTCTGCTCCTTGTTTGGCTTTTGCTAAAATACTGCAATTATTTTGATGATTCTTACACAAAGCAGCTACAAAAAGATAACTTTCCAGTTAACCAGGATTTCCAGTAATCATGTTCTTAGCCTGTTATATCAGTTTCCCTCTATTTAATTTGGCTCAAACAGCTTAATAAAATAGTTTATTTGGCTAAATGCATGATGAGATTAAAAGCTTATCAAGAAAGATGTTTTGTTAAGCTCAGGTGCTGTCACTTTTTGGAATCCCAGGCAAAATTTGCAAAGCTAGATCAAATGTTAGGAGCAGCTTGAACCAGGAGTTAAGCTAATGCTTTAAAAGTAGAGCAGCCCCTACATCTTCTGTGAGAAACAAACAAAAAAAAACCAAAACACAAATCCAACTAAATATGTGCTCCATGGTGGCAAAAAATTAGGTTGTGCAATGGGCATGCTGTCCTAGTGATCTACTGAAATCGATATCAGCAATTTCTGTCTCAAAGTTCTCTGCTCTGAAACACCAGAACTGAGCTCTATTTAAGACAATTTGGCATGTCACTGCCACTTCTTAACCTGCTTAGCTGTAGCAATAGAAACAAAATACACTGATTTTAATTTTATTTATTTATTTTTTTAAATGGCAGAGAGTGCCAAAATTAGCTTGTTTTCCTGTTGGAGCCTTTCTGCCTCCTGTACTTCAAACCCTTTTTAGCCTCACTAGTTTCCTTTCTTCACACAAAATGTCAGTGTGGAAACTTATAAAATGCCAGCAAGGTACTCTTAAAAGGTGTGAAACTCCTGGTCCTTCAAATGTCAAAATCAGCTACAGGGAAAGCTATTCAGGTATGGCTATTTAGTTTTAATGTCACACCCTGTCATGTTCTAGGAGAATATTCAGCTGTAGAAAACCTTGCCTTAAATTGGCAGGTACTCAGGCTGCACCATTAGTTGACATTTTTCCACAGCTGGCTTTCACAGTGCTTTTCTTGCATACAACACTTTGTTATCTCTTTAACTAGGAGGAATAAAAGGTAGAAATGCTAGCAACATACCAGGCAGAAAGAGAATGGCATCTGCCTTTCTGCCTGTGGGATTTCAAGGACCATGTCTGAGCTTGGTTTGGAGTAAAAATCCTGTTTCTAAATCCTTGGGAACACTGGGCCATTCTATTAGGTGTGTAACAGTAGTTCTTTTGTTCACGTGCTGACACGGTGCAGGAGTCCCAGGCTGGCTCATCACCAGCACTCTGAGAGTGGGACACGCTCCAGGAGCAGGATGCCCTGGAGTGCAGCTCTGAGCTATTGCTCCACAGCACATTATAGCAGTCAGAGCTGTGTGAAGGCAAGGATTGAGGAGCCTCTTTGTACGGGTTCCAGGAAC